GTATTAAAGACAGGGGTAAATAAAACCTACGAGTGGAGCAACAAAAACACTTGTGTTATTTAAAGGTGGGAGATTGATATGGCATTAGCATTTATACTCCAGTAAATAGAAAGGTTGCTCTACAATTGAGTCTTTTGATAAAAGTTACTTAGACAAGTTGTAGGTACTTTAACTCGAAAACTAGATAGACAAAGCTTAAGTATAAAAGTTAACTGTACGGACACACTCTCGCAATTATATTATAATTAGTTTGGAAACTTTAATGGGATTGCGTCGATGTGTTGCTCTTCCTATCATACTAATAACTCTGCAGATGCATACTACCTACGGAAGAAGTCAATAGTTCAATTCCTTACATGTTTTAGTTTGAAATATGAATAAAAAAATCCACACCTTCAATGGATTTCTTAATTTCTAAAATTAATTTGAAGTCAGTGTAATTTTTATTATTTATTTTTATTTTAGCTCACCTTGACTACCAAAAAGATTTTTGAATAGTTATGTATATATTTAAAAACAATTTTCATGTAAGAAAGAAAATAGCAGTATACGAGTAAAAATAATATATAATTGTGAAAATTCTATTACTCATGACATAAAAACTTTATAAATATTTAACTACCAGTATTATATGGCATTATGTATTACTAGAATAAATAAGTTTGAATAATTTTACTTAGTACTCATTATTACAAACCACTGGCTCGGCAGCATGTAGGGCTGCACATTTGAGGGTCCAAGGCTCGAGTCCCGGATCGGGTCAAGTTTAGTTATTGAGTCTTTCTGTAAAGAAGAACCCCCGTGCCTCGGAGAGCAAGTAAAGCCGTCGGTCATGCGCCTGATCTATCTACGGTCATGTCAAATTACTGTCCCATTGGAATTTGAGAGTGAAAAAAGTAATGTTATAAACAAAATGGTTTATGCACTTAAAATTTAGATTTTAAAACATTTTTGTATACTATTGAAGTTTAATGTTATTTTCGTATATATTTTATAAAATAAATTTTAATCACACTATAAATTTTGGTTTGACGTTGTCAAATTTTTTTTTATGCACTTAAAATATTAGGTATTAAATAAGAAATATGCAAATAGAATCTTTTACTATTCACAATTACTCTTACATCGTGCATAATATATATATAATTGACGAAGTCAGAATCATAAAATAGATATCTAGTTCGCTGTATTTCTGCCATCTCATTTAATTTAGTCTGCAAAGCTGTCAGCTCCAAGACTCAGTTTCAGTTTCATACGTCAAGCAAACGGATTAAATAAAGCTTAGTTACTGTAATATGTATAATTGAGATACGAGTAAGGTTTCTTGCAACATTTAAATGCATTTTATATTTGTCAATGTTTTTTAAATACATACATATTGTATGTATGTATCTATTAAAAAATCTATTTGTGATCAAAGATAAATAAAATAAAAAATAAGAAATAGTTAAATTTACATAGAGCGATGTACAACGAGCGCCTACGTTATACTGGAAATAACATTTTCCTTAGCATAACACGCTTTTAATATTTTTACTTTTAACTATCGCATCTATTGTAAACTTCATAAAGTCGTACATGTATGTATGTATGTATTCAGCCCTTTTTAACGTCCCACTGCTGGGCACGGGCCTCCCTTCAATACGAGGGGGATAAGGCCATAGTCCACCACGCTGGCCAAGTGCGGGTTGGCGGACTTCACATGTCTTTTGAAAACTTACTAGGTTCTACGGTAATCATGTTAGAAATGATTCGCACATGAAAATATCAGAGCTGCGAGACCCGGCATTTGAACCCGCTTCACTCGGTGTCCCAAGCGAGCGGGTTACCACTGGGCTACTACTGCCTAAAGTCATATAATTCGATGAAAATAGAATAATTAGATATATCCAATTTATATGTCTACACTTCTATGCTATTCTTTCATACAAAAGAAATGTACACTTAATGATTACTGTACAACACATGTCCTCGTCGAATAGTGGCAAGAATGCTAGATGCATACCCCCGCTGAATGGGAATGCCCATTCGTTGGGTAAAAATAAGCCAACTTTCCTGTTACCAGTATAGGCTATAAGACGACGTGTTATGTCTTTTAAGAAGTGTTTTGCACTTTATATATTTCTATTGATGATCCCTATAACAGAAGAGTATGAGAACAGTCATTCAGCAAAAAACGTTTTTGCTGAAAAGCTAGAGACACCAGACTCAGAGATTATTGTATTTGGTGTTAAAAGATGTTTATATTTTATGCTATTACATGTTAATTTTCATTAAATTGCTTTTTTTTTCAAAATAAAAAGACGCTAACCTGTGTAAATAAATGTAGAATAAATAGTTCCAAATCAAATTGAAACATCGTAGTATGCCGTTGGGAAATTATAAGTTTCTTTCTTACTTAAATTTATTGATAATGTACGAATGACTAGAAAATTGATATATTTATTGAATATTACGCTTTATTGGTCTGTTTCTAATTTATTATATATATATATATATATATATATATATATATATATATATATATATATATATATATATAATTTACGATACTGTTAAGTGATTTTTGGCATTCGATTGAGCCTAACATGCTTATGGCTTATGTTGCTGAGACAATGTAATATTGTGGAATCTTGGAGTTGGTTTAAAAAAAAACTTCTGAAAGAGAATAATTTTAAATACTCATATGTATGTTATCAACTAGTATGTTCTATACTAACCTAATACTATACCACATGTATGACATAATTAATATAAAATGCCCATAACAGGTATTTCTAAAAATCTAAAACTACAAAAACTGAACACAAACTACTCTAAATTCCTGCATTCATATTTATTCTGGGAATATATTTTATAGCCAATATATAACCGTTTTGTACAATATAATACATACTAGTATTTTTGTTTGATAGAAATTATAAATAAAAGCTTAAAAACTAAACTTTACATTTTAGACATGTCGATTGTCGAATATAGTAAAGCTTTTTCTTCATGTCATAAAATTGAAACACGAAGCAAAAATATTATAGAAAAAAAATATTGTACTTCTATTTTATCGAGATATTTTTTGTACACAAAAAAAATTCTATGTTGTTTGGAGGAAAATCTGGGATTCAAATTAGTATATATCTATATACTAATCCAAAAAGGTCACGGTTAAAAACTAGTAATACCTACACTATTTATTATTTCGAGATCTAACATTTTATCTACATTCAATATCGTTTTTATTATTAACTTAAAATATTACATAGTTTTATTTCTATCGGTAAAGTAGATTCCACGTTATAGCTTGACGTTTTCGCTTCCATAAAAAGTGCCATCACCGAAAAAAATTATTTATTTAAATGAGATCTAAGATATAGTAAAAATAAAGAAAAAAAACAGAAAACAAGCTGTTTTCAGTTTTAGCTATTGAAATAATAGGTATCCCGCAGGAGAAGTATCGTGTTATTGTATAATGCATTATAATATTCGTTTAGTGACCTATTTTCTTGGCATCCTGAGCTAGAATATGACTATAAAAAGTATGATAAGCTGCTAACTTTCTCTCTATTTCCGTTGATAGTACAATAAAACAGTATCATTAAGTAAATCTGACGGTTAACTCAGAAGGTGAGCGGAACTCTTCATTACCACGAGAAAATTCTTAGACTTTGGGCGTATTTAGATACTTTAAGTAAAATATAATACATTAATTTATGATATATTGATCCTAATACTCCTATCTTGGTTCTTTATTTTGGAACTGAAACTCAAAAATATAAATAGACATTTATAACAATTCCATTAACAGAACGGGACAAGTTTAAATGTAAAAGATGATGGAATTGTACAGTCATTGTTTACAGGAAAACATGACGAAATCCGATTAATATTAAGCCTTGCTCTATATTATTCCACTTTAATGAATTATTTAATTATATTATGAAATTCTAGGAAAAAAACAAGAAATAAGGAGAAATAGAGCTAAAAAAAAATAAAAGCAATATGGGGGAGGTTTTTCCTTCAACCTCTGCCAATCAATGTTGATGTTCAAGACTTAGAATGAGTTTTACTAATACGTCTCGTACTCTGATCACTCTTCGAACTAGAACGAGGCAACGATTTTTTTTTTATTTTAAATTATCCTACTTTCATTTCCTCGCCTTGCATTTACGAATCCTTTAACACATCTTACTAATACACTATAGCAATAAAGGCTCGTGATTAGGTAGGTAATGTAATCGGTTAGAAATTGAATTTTGTATGAGAGAAGCGACGTCCGGCGTATGAAAATCTTAGAGTAAATCTCATTTATTATGGCTGCTCCCTTGATACCTACCTACATATACTGCTGAATTTGCTTACAATTTTGAGCATATGCACTTGTGCATCTGTGCACTTATGACCATGTAACTAAATACTAATTTAAACTGCTAAAAAGGTAATCGTCAAAATTAATAAGAAATAATCAAAATGTTACTTACTTTTGTTGTCTTTGGTACTTTTACACCAAAAATTTAATAATAATTTATGTCATTTCTGCGTAAAAAATTACAAACGTATTCTCAACTACTTTGTTGTAAATGTATAAAGATATAAATGTTTTAATATTAACCTCTCAGTCCAAAAAACTTTTGAAAAAATGGTTATTTGATAATTTATTTATTTTTCAAACACACAAAATGGGCGTTTATTAATAGTGATAACCAGTAGTAATATAAGTTAGTCAAAATTATTTTATTTATTTATTTATTTATCTATTTGGATCCACTAGTGATAATTACATTGAACCCTGTTTAAATTAATTACACAATTTAACTCAATCCTAAATGCATTACCTTGTAAAGTGGATACACATTATGAATTCTTCTCTAGAGAGAATTACAAAAATATTAAAAATTTTAATTTAAACATAACCCATAAGAAAATACTCGTAAATTATAAAAAAAATATGAATTAAAATTATCATAATACCTATGGTATTATGCATAAATTAATTTAACAGCACTTACCGGAACAGCGTGGTTGTGATCATCAACTAGTGTGTCGGTAACGGAGAGTTGTCCATCTGTTACTAGTATGTGTAGACCCAGGCGATAGATTCCCATAGACCGGGGAGATCCCCACCGGCCCCTGACAAGGAGCTGTACGGTGAGGACCTCCCCGGGAGTGACAGGATCTCTGACTTCGAAGTCGAATGTCTGTAGACAAAAAAAAGAGATTTGTAAAATATCGTAATAAAATTACTTTATAGGTTTTATATAAACGAAAGTTTATGTTTATATCTGTTTTTTCGAAGTTGTTTATAAGATTTGTTCGAAGAGTAAAATATGTATATAGAAATCATAATAACACTTTTTTAACCCTCCACGTGTCATGGCAATAATATAAGTTGCCAGATAGTGATATTCATTAAACCAATATAAGTATTTAAAAATAAATAGAACATATTAGGTATATACTAATAGCTTAAAAATATGCATTTATTTAACTTTCACAAAATTCAATTTTGTTAAATAGCTTAAAATTCCTCGTAATTAAAATGAAAATACTACTACTAGAGACTCACCCTCGTTCGGGTTCGCCTCTTTGGAAACTTCGGAAAGTTCTAGCGGTTAGTATAGATTTATCAGAGATGAGATATTTTCCCGCAGTAAAAAGTATTGTTTATGTTAATCTGGATAAGCAGCTACCACCATACCAAATTTCATCAAAATCTGTGGTTTACTTGTGATGCGTTCCCTGACAGACAAAAATTCTAAAAACCATAGATTTGGCATCTGTATTGATAATACTAGGTTATGACAAATTACTAAACGAGAACAGTGACCACTTATACCCATTTGGGGGCTCATTGCAAAATTATCGAAATAAAGTGTTCTCATGTATTGTAAACAAATAAGACGGTATAGCTTAGCTTTAGACTGAACTTCACTATTTGTTATACAATTTAATTATTTTAGGCATTTGTAATGTAATTTTTACTAAATTAATAATGTCCCAATAATAATTATTTTTAATAGAATATTTTTTAATTCTTTCATTAAATATTTATTGAAGTTTAATGCTTCCACATTATTTAATAGCTTTAATGTGTATGTGTTTTTTTTTTCAAATTCCGATTATTTATATGTAGTGATGTATTTATTTATATTTTAATTTATCGATATTTAAATCGTGAATTAAATTAATACATGCTGTATCCACTTTAAAAGGTAAAAGGTTTAATGACATTTAGGATTAAGTTAAATTTGGTAATTAATTTAAAAAAAAATCAATGTAATTATCACTAGTGGATCCACATAAATAATAAATAAATTAAGTAAAATGACCATTTCAATAAGATTTTCCAAAAAATATTTAATATACATTTAGTACAGATTCGACTCACGTAGAATCCATACTAATATTATAAACGTGAACTTTTGTTTGTTTGTTTGCTTGTCTTTCATTCACGTCGAAACGGCTTGGTGGATTGGCGTGATTTTTTGTGTGGAGATAGTTGGAGGGCTGGAGAGTGACATGGGCTACTTTTTATTGCGGGAGATTATCTCATTCACACGGGAAAACACGTTATAATACAATCCAAAAAAGGTAGGTTGGTTGCTCTTCAATACAATTAATTAAATACGTGTTTTAACATTTTTCGAAATTCATCCCATAAGGGTAAAATAGTGGATGAAAGTTTATACGAAACCTACTATTTTAGAGGTTTTTGTAGTTTTAGCGCGAGCAAAGCCGCGGGTTCTGCTATTTTTATTATACATCTAGAAGAAGAATTAAAATGTCTCTTTTCGATGTTCAAAACAAAGGCTCTATATGTTGTATTCGGAATTCACAGAAGTATATTATGAATCGCTTTGTTTCTGTAAATATTTAATTGTAAACATTTTTAATATCGTGCAAATATAAAAAATATCCATATAAATAATTTTTATACATAGAAAAGGTCAGGTCAAATGCCTGCGGACCTTTTGATGATGTGAACGAAGGAAAACCTCGCTAAAAAAGGCGAAAGGAATATGTTAAGAATTTAACGGTTAGTAGATAGTTTTTTTTGGTTGCCCAGCTAGAAATATAGCGCGTATATTTTCATCATTTCAGTTTAAATTTTAGAATAATTTAAATTAAAAACTACAAATATGGATAACTCAAACACGAGTCTCCTTTTTAAAAACCTGCTATCTTTATATATTTTCATACCTATATACAATGCCTTTATGTATTACTTTCTAACGGTCATTTTATTTTTCTTCCTATCATTTTTAATTGTAATTGTACTAACTTTAATTGGGAAATATTGAATTCCCCAATTAAATATCAATACTTCAATTAAGCAGGCTTTTATATTGGCTTTATATAAGGTTGAAATTTTGCTGCATTTTTCCTGCAAACGTTTAAAAGTTGACCTATTTAAGAGGTCAATGGAACCTACGAGTCTAACCCAGCTATGGAGAAAGAAGAATTTTCAATCTTAGGTATATTTTTATGTCTTGTTTTGCTAAGCATTATACCAAAAAAATGGAATTTGTTTCTGCACCGTGAATTTTTTTTATACTTTTGATTAAAGATCTAGAGTAATTCATTATTTTGACGAGTGACGTGTTAAAGAGATTTACTAGCGCACCCTCAAAGTCCGATGGGACAATAACACGACACGACCGGTGAGAGATCTCGGAAATAACTTGGAACTCGAACCGACTATCTTCTGACCTGTCAATAAGACTAAATTACTTTATACAGCAGGATAAAAAATCTATGACTCTTGGACATTCTCCCACCTAAGAGCTGAACTATTTATGTGCAAAAGCAAGTTATTCATATTTACAATATAAATAAAGAGTTGTTAAGAGGCCTATTACATTATGACCATGATTTTTCAATTTAATGCCCATCTTTGACGTTCTTATTCAGAGAAACTAAAACTCTTCGACGATTTTGACTTATTGTCTGGTGGAGAATCGTTAATAATAATATAGTTCATAGCGGCCTCGTTTTTCGCAATTTTTTTTTTATTAATTTAAATAAATTCAGAAGCATGTTTTTTAATAAAATGCGCGACGGCGTTTTTTCAAGCTCATGGATCGAAATACTATACGCAAAGGAAATGAAAAATATATAATAATATTTCGTATATAGTGGGTTGAGTTTATAGCGGCCTTTGAATTTGAAATATATATTGGATTTCTACAAAAAAAAATCCTTTTCAAATCTTAAAAACGTTCAGAATTACCTGTAAATATATCTATACCTGTAATTATTAAAAAAAAGTATATAATTATATACTTTTTTTAATAATTTATTATAAAAACTACATAGAAGTAATTACAACTGCAGAAAATGCTAGAAACAGCGATGCGTCGGCCGCTCGAACTCAATACCATAGAACGCAGTTGGTGATAGGCCTCTTAAAATTTAACAATAAAACTTTTGAATCTCCAAGTTTGTTGACAATAATATAATATTCCTTTGCACTGTACGAGTTAAAGCGGATTTAACAAAAAGCTTTGTTAAGCGACAAATATTTTCCTTTCATAGTTTTGTTTGAAAATTCGTTGTTTTTGTTCAAAGTTTAAACGACATATCGGCTTTGTTCTAAATAATTATTTTTATGATAAAAATATTTAAACGTATTTGAAATAAGTTTAAGCCCATTATATTTTCGTTTCTTTGCTTAATTTTTTTATAATTCTATTAGTTCGTATGGAAAATTGCTTTGTGAAAAACAAAAACAAATTTATCCCACGAGAATCTTACATTTTTATGGGATAAAAAGTAAACAATGTGCTATTCCAGACTATAATCTACATACATATCTCTGTGACAAATTTCATCTAGATCCGTTCAGCTGTTTTGGCGTGATTGAATAACACACATCCATCCAAACTTTCGCATTTATACTGTTAATGGGATAAAGGAAGTGGTTTAATTTTCCGATAAATCAGCGTCAGAACGCATTATCGCGATTTTAAGACACACCTAAAGAGACAAACAGACAAAAAGACAAAAATTTTAATAGCTATTGTTTTGAAAATTTAGTCAACGATTACATACATTATTTTTATTTAGGTATATTATGATATGAATCATATTTATATATTTTTTATTATCTATTACATATATGTATATTATCCCAGTATATTGTTTCTTTAACAAATAATGTCTAAAAATAAATTACGTTTTGTTATAAGCTAAAATAAATATGAAAGCAAACAAAGATTCTGAAAGTAAAATAATATAATAATAGCTTATTTATAATTTAAAAGCTGTAGCCTGTACTATAGTAATCTGAGGCAGCAATAAAATACACATATTGCAAATCACATACGTTAGGAGAATTGACATGGACACGTCTCGTAGCTTATCCATAGCGTATCCCGACTCCAGATATTATACATATATTGAACGTTGTTTAGTAGAAGATATGGGGTCAAGTGATATGTTCGATGGTTGTTATACAGTGATTTGCGGTTGCAAATGCTTAGTGGAAATTTTTCTTTTGGTTAAGTGTAAAATAAATTATAAATAAATATGTTGAGAAATTAACACTCAAACATGGTAAGCTACGAGGCTTGTATTATGGATACCAGATAGTTGATACACTACACATATATAACTTAAATAACATATAGGTATATTATAAATATAAGCCACCACTTTGATTTTCGTTTCATTTTTAATTTATTTTGTGCTTCCAATTGTTAAAATGAGAGGATCCAGTCAAAATAACTTCGGTCACAAAGCAATAACAATATATTGCTATGACTTATAAAGTGTGATGATAGAGTCCGAAAGTAGTAAAATAGACTTTTAAATTACACAACAATGTGATCGTGCGGCTATGATATTTGCACGCGAACATACGGATAGAAATGATAATGGTATAGTTATATATATATATATATATATATATATATATATATATATATATATAGCCTTTTAGCTATGAAAATATATTCCATAAAATAGAATTACATAAACATATACGTATAAGGATATAAAGTTTTAATATCAAAATATATCTCGTGTTTAGTTTCTCAACTTTAAAGAAAGTTCTATGAGTGCATGTTTTGAAGCAAAAGTATTTATTTTCGTATTCCTTACAGGTTTTATTAATTGGTCCTTTAGTACATGTCTACATCAAGACAAAAAATGTATCTATTTCATCATAGTAAAACAATATTCAAGTTAGCTCGTAATCATTACTATTGCGCTCCTTACAGAACATCGGCAAACGAACGGTAGAGTCTAGAATATATTCCATTTTGTATAAACATGAAATGCTACTCACAAAAAGTACGCGTTGACAAATCAAGACAAAGTAGAGAGCCCAACGGTACCCGGTTGATGAAGAATGACATTTCTAATATGTATGATTCAGATGGAATATTAGATAATAGTAGCGACTCACCCTCGCTTTGTTAAAAAATAAAAAAAATCTATCCCACGGGAATTGCACATTTTTCTGGGATAAAAAGTAACCTATGTGTTATTCCAGGCTATATCTCTGTGCAAAATTTCTGTTAAAGGCGTCCTTCGTCTCAAACTATCTCCATACTGAATTTCGTCTAGATCGGTTCAGCGGATTAAGCGTGAAAAGGTAATGTTTATCAAACTTTTAACAAAAGTGTATGCAATTTTATGCTAAAAATAATACAAAATAACTATTATTAAAACTAATTTGATGCTTAAACTTAGAGATAAGAGTGAATTGTTTTATGTGACATTAAGCCTTAGTTCTCGAGTTCTCCCATTATATTTGAAATGTCGCTCGAGTTAAAAGCACGGAATTTAAATAAATTGTATGGCTTTTGAGACCTGAAAAACTTAGTCTCTCCCGGTACCACATTTGTTTTATAGTATTCAAAACTTCGGGAACAAAAAATCAAAAAAACGCCGTGTAAGAAAATAAAAAATAGTTTAATTTAAGGCTAGTTTTTGCCTGCGGCCTCGCTCGTGTAGTAACTGGTAGGAAGGAATCAAAGGTAACGCATGTCTATCCTCAGGACGCAATATATGTCCTTGCTAATTTTTATCGAACTCTATTGGAACAAAACTACTTTCACATTTATAATCTTAGTATGGATTTCAGATATTTGCATAAATCTAATCTAAATTATTCTGATAAAAGTATCATTAACAGAAAGTAAAAACGATGTTTTGTAATCAAGAGCAATTACGGGTTGCTAGTATATTGTTACAACTCTCCTAAAAACAGTCATGATCAGAAATTCTTTCGTAAATAGACTGAAAACGCAAAACTCAAGTATAATTGTAACTAAATCAAAATGTAGAATGTTGCTGCCATTAGCATTCATTAATTTAATTATGTCTTAATTAAAGGGTTTACCTTACACGGCTCGGTACTCAAAAGCAACAAATTTGAAATAACATTTTGTATTCTCCAATAATAAAGGAACATGAGAGAAGTTTTACTGTTCTTTTTTGTAAACCTCGCAAGTGGGTGAAATATTCTTTCACCATAATCAAGAGATAAGTTTGTTTGTGTGCAGATATATCCACAGAAATATTTTTTTCTAATGAAAAGCAGCGTGAAAACTAAGTATAGTCGCGCGCAAAATCTAAAATCAGTCAAATCTACAACTAACAACTTTAAGTGAAAATACTTTTCAAAATGCTTTATATAAAGGTTTGACATTTTCCATAATGTTAGCTTCGTAACTGTCTTTTATTCAGCCTTTTTCAACGGACCACTGCTGGGCACGGGCCTCCCTTCAATGCGAGGGGCCAAGTGCGGGTTGGGCCTGCGGAATTCACATATCTTTCGAAGACTGCCTAGGTCCTCCCAGATATGCAGTTTTCTTCACGAAATTGATCTTCACCGTAAGGCAAGTGGTGGTCATGTTAAAAATTATTCGGACCCGGGACAAGAACCTGCTTTACTTGGTTTCCCAAGCAAGATCCTTACTACTGGGCTATCACAGTTTTTTATATCATCGTAGAACTATGAATCAAAAATTCTAAGTCACTCTTTATATAGTACTCTATTTGCTTATGAAAGTCATATGAAAATCGGTAGAGCCAAAACAAGCTTGGAGGAACCTGACATATAAAAAAATTAAAGATTTGTTTCAAATTGAATACATACATAACTCTAATAATAAATGTGAGTTTCGAAATCGTCTTATCTATATAATTAATTCTATATAATAATAATCTCTTTATTGTACACCAAGAATAAAAGAAAAATAAATAAACACAGAGTAGAAATGTACAAGAGGCGGCCTTATCGCTAAAACAGCGATCCCTTCCAGGCAACCGTTAGGTGTAGGAGATAGCAAACTGCAAGAGGGAAGTGGTGTAAATGATAGAGTAAATATATCACAATATATAAAAAAATAGACTAGAAAAATGCATAAGTATATATGTTTATACTAATAGATACATATACATACCTATACTTACACAGATACACATACCTATATATACATATATATTATATATAATAAAATATAATAAAAAATAAAAAAACAAAACAAAAGGCAAGCTTACAAAGAAAGATAAGTTAAAAAATAACAATAATAATACTCGTATATTGTATGTAAAGTCAAAAACTAAGAAAGTATTCTTTTAGGAGTTTTTTAAATATCGTTAATGACTTCGCACGTCTGATATTAAGGGGAAGAGAGTTCCAAAGACGTGGGGCTGTTACAGTGAATGAATTGCTATAGAAGGAAGAGGAGTTAGAAGGGATTTTAAGGATAGGGTTAATATCAGAGCGAAGACAGCGAGAATGTGAATTGCCAAGAAAT